TAAAAATTATGATTAAACTCACCTTCCGTTGTCTCTTCCAACACCCCAAACTCTTATCGTATGAATGGGTTGACTATTTAATACGGTGAGCTTTTCCGGATCCATTAATTTTAATGAACCTTCATCTAAATCCATAAACAAATCTTTTCCCTGAAAAAAAAAAAAATTATGCATTTTTTAATTTTGGTTTTTTCTTTAATAAATCATTTTTTGAAAAAAAAAAAATCTCACATCTCCCCAACGTCCGACAACATCCAAAAGATCATTTCGACCCAATGACAAATCGACAATGCATTTATTAACGGCTTTCGAGGATCTTTCCGGTGTTAAATCTTCTTCTGCAATTTCCACCCAACCTAAAGATCTAACAGCGAATCTTATGGGTTTTTGTTTAGAATCGCTACTTTCGACTCTCGCCGGATAACTTCTTCTCCTTTTATATATATAACAAAAAAAAAAAAATTTATTAATTAATAAAAAATTTATTTAATAAATAAATAAATAAAAATTTTAGACTCACTTATAAGCTAAATCTTCTTTTTTATTTATGGATTCGAGAGCCGAACTCGTGTTACTTCTAGTTACGCAATTGATTACCGTCGAAGAATTTAAATCTTCCGTGTCTTTTAAAAACTGTTGAACGATTGTACTGATTTCTTTACATTCTTCGGGTGGTTCTCTTTGTATCGTTCCCGATTTGATATGCCAATAATATGGACCGTCATTATCTGAACAGGAAAACAAAACAAATCAAATCAATATTTAATTAATAAAAACGTAACAAAACGAGACGTTAAAGGTTTTTTTTTTTTTTTTTGTAACCTTCGTGTTTTTCCCATCCTGGAGGTAATCTATCTTTGTCTGGAGTATCCTGAGTATCCGTCGTAGGTGATTGTGAAGCTCTTTTGACAGGCACGGCAAACAAATCATCGGTTAATTGATTATGTAAATTAGAAACATCCTCGAGGTCAATTTTAGAATTTTGGAGGCTATTTATCTGTGAACTATTTAATAATTTACTTATTAAATTTTTTTCCCAACAACTTACAGACCGATTTCAGTTCGGTAACACAATTATTATTATTATGATAAATTAATTAATTAACTTACATGTCTTTATTACGTCTGTATTCTGCATCTTCTATCAAATCCGGTTTGGTTCTCACGATGGCATTTAAATCATTTGGACGCCTTCCCATGTTCAGGTTGTTATAGTTGAAAGAATTGTCTAAACTTGTATCTTTTACAGAATCAAAACTTCTAGAAATGGAACAAATGGAAAAAATTAGAAAATTTTATTTTTGATTTAAAAAAAAAAAAAAAAATGGCTGACACTTTAAAATAGGGTAAAAAAAAAAAAACAACAACGAATATCCTATTTATTAAAACGATACTTTTTTTTATTAATAAGTTTGCAACAAAATTTTTAATAATAATAATAATAATAACTGATATATATGGAGTAATTTTGTCTGATAAATCGATGTGAAAACCGGAAAATCTAATAAGTAAAACTAAAACCTCCCCCAAAAAAAAAAAAATTTTTTTAATAAACTTTTGGAAATTTTCAAATTTTTTTTTTGATTTTCCTAAAACCCCGACGGTTAATAATAATAATAATAATAATAAAGTTAACTTTAAAATTTTCTTTTTTTTTTTTTTTTTTTATAGGAAAATTTTATGATTTACGGGTGTTTTATTTAAATGATGAAAATTTTTTAAAATGAAAACAAAACGCTTATTTATTTTTTATTGTGTAATACATATATATATAAAAAAAAATTATGAAAAAATTTCTAGTATTAAATCGTATTTTAAAATGTTAATCAATATATTGAATATTTAAAAAGTTTCCCACCCCTTCCCCTCCCCCCGCTTTTCCACGACCGAAAAAAAAAATTCATGGCTCGTCGTGAATTATTTAAATTGTTATTTTAAACCTTATTTTCTCTTTCAAATTTTCTTTTTTTTTTTTTTTAAATTATTTATTTTTAACAAACAAATCGATATAATTAATCGTAATAAATTTCGATTAAATTTCAATTTATTTGTGTGTGTGAGAGAGAGAGAGAGAGAGAGAAACTGTCATGGTTTTTTTTTTTTTTTTTGTTCATAATTTATTAAAACATTATGAGAACCATATCGTTCTTTCTCTTTCTTTCAACTACACCATAAAATTTTTATAAATGAATACTAATAATAATGATTATTAAGAATAAAATAATAATAATAATAATATTTATTCTATTAAAATTTTCGTATGACACATTCAAAACTAAAATAATAAAAAAATTTTTTTTTTTTTGCGTGATTTACAGAAGTTGCCATATTGTAATAGAAAATCATGTGGGTTGTTTCGAATTTAAAAAATTTTTTTACTATAAATAAAAAGCATAAAATCAATACGAATAATTTTTTTTTTTTTTTTTTAAATAAGAAAATCGAACTAAATTTTCTTTGAAATAATAATAATAATAATAATGAATTGATTTGATTTTTTTCAAAAAAAAAAAAAAAAGAAACAGAAAAACATACTCAATAGACGACAACAACCAGTTTGAATTTCCAATGATGAGTAAAATAAAAACAATAATTCCAAACAAAAAAATAATTAATAACAATTTCACCGTTTTTAAAACATTACCCGATATAATTTTAAATAACGAATTAATTTTTTTTTAAAAATTTCTCTTTCTTATTGGGAAATTGTGTCGGAAAAAAAAGAAAAAAAAAAGTTGGGGGGAAAAAAAATAACCGATGACTCACTCACTCACTCAAAAAGCTTTTTTTTCTACCGGTTTTGAAATTTCGATCGATGGCACATGCGCAAAAGAATGTTATTCCTTGATAGCAGGGGATGTTAGGGGGTTGTTTGTGTAGCAGCATGCTGTCATTTTTTTTTTTTTTTTTTTTTTTAATTTTGCAAAGTCACGTTTAAAAAAAAAACAAAATTATATATATAAAAAATGGTTGTTACCAAACTCATAATTAACTTTTAATTGTTTACTGTTGTTGTTGTTGTTGTTGCCAAAAAAAAAAAAAAAAAAAGACAAATATCGAGAGATTTACCTGTTGTTGCATTCAATTTTATTAGAATCCAAATTAGTGACGGGACCCGTGTTGACATCGACCCCCATCGAAGTCACATCCAAAGAAGCATAAGATTTTCTACCCTCACATCCGGAACCTGGACGACCACGATTTGGTAAATTACAAACGGCATCCAATTCGTTAATTATTTCCTCGTATAAATCATCTTCAACGTTGGGTACCAAATTTGAATTGAGTGCATCGTCTAAACGAGCCGGATCCAAATGATAATTTGGATTTTCATAGCTTAACAATCCATTTTCTAAAAATAATAAAATAAATACCACTTTATTATTTAATAACTAAAGAATCATTATTATTATTATTAGCACGACATAATTAATTTTATATATATATATAAAAAAAAAAAAATCTCGCTCGAAAAGGTTGATAATGTGTACACACTCACACACACACACATGAGATTAAAAACAAATATTAAATTTCAACATTTTGTTATTTTACAACATTTCCCCCCCCCCAATGTTAAACTTTAGCGACTATACTTTAACTCCTGAAAATTTTGAAATAAAGGAAAATTTTCGTGTAGAAAAAGAAAATTAAAGAAAAACAAACAAAGAAAATAAATTTTGCTCATTCGTAGAGTTAAAAAAATAATAATAATAATAATAATAATACTTTGAGTAATGACTAAAATTGTTTGATACATTTAATTAATACTTCCCCCCACAGCATAAAATTTATTTAAATGTATTATTATTATTATTATATTATTAAAATTAAAAACTAAATTTCGTATACATACATAACCCTACTACACACACCTAAATAATAATAATTATTTAGTAATAATAAATAAACTAATAATAATTTAACATCGAATTAATTAAATAACAAATAAATAAAATTATTACAATTTATCTGATATATATATATACATAAATTCTTATAAAAAATAATAAACTATTTAATTTAATAATAATAATGATAATATCGTCTGTGATATATACTTTAAATAGTAAAAGTCACATATGTTAATTAGATTTTCTTATAAAAAAAAAAAAAAACAAAAAAGAAAAGTTTAAATGGAAAATTGTACATATTGCTTTATAAATAAGTAACGAAAAAAAAAAAAGAAAAAAAACCGATAAATCCTTGACCCGTCACTGTAAAATTGCAACAATGCCTTCTTTTACGTTTCCCCCCAAATAATTTTTTTTTCTCGTTATGATCAAGTAGGTGTATATACACGTGTACGTCTTACGTGGTAACTATATATAAGAACAATTATTATTATTTTATTTTTTTGTTTTTATTGTTTTAGTGACTAAAAACTTTTCGCAAGAAATCATTTAGAGTATCAAATAAACTACTCAACCGCAAAATCTAATAGGGGGGCGGAAAGGAGGGGGGAGAGAGGGAGGGGGAAACGTGATGTTACCTCGGTAACGAAAAACCGTATCA